AAGTAGAATGAAAGCTTAATAAGAGTAATCGCAGTAAGCCAACCATTCCAACCATCTTCCTGAATAGCTAGTGGGAAAACATCCATACATTTCAATCTCGATATTTGCTACCACAATTTTCCTATCTGATCCTTGATAGTATATCGAATTGAAAAAGCACTGCATCCTGGATAATTTGAAAATCTTCGACCATAGTGCACTTGTAAATATAACATTTTGATTACTTAAAATAAACTCAGATAATATATGTAACTTAAAAATGAAGTTGAAAAATTGATGGACAATGATATCATTGTATGGTAAAGGTCTTTAACAATAGAAACATTTTAAATTCGTATGAGTAATACTACTAAGAGTATTATTTATAACAATAAATATAAACTTTCAAAATAGTATCAATTAGTAAAATATGAATATTCTCTTACTTTTATAATTTTTATTTTTTAATATTTTTACTTGTTTATATTAATTAACCGTGATTATTTTTAAAAATTTTAAAATCTATGTTTGAAATGACTTTTAAAAAAATAATAATAATGACATTACAAGTGTGATTGCACATGAAGACAATAATATTGAAAATAATTTATATTTATATAATATTGAGAATAGTTATTAAAATATATTTTGTTTCTTTGTACTTTTAAATGTATTTAATTTTTAAATTTTTTATTTTAAATTAGTAAAAGAATAATATCAATATTTGATGTTCTGATACTGTGATTATATTGACCAACTTCTTTTCAGTATAAGGTAAGCTAAGTACAAATTAGCCATTCTTTTTGTTAAGAAAATTGCAATTTATTATATATGTAACGGCCCCGGAAAATATTAAAAAGAAATGAGTATTTAAATATATCGAATGCGGAAGCGAGATCAAATTTTCAGTTAACATCCCTTACACGAAAAACCAAAAACGTACTTAAAATATAAAAGGTTAAACTAACTAAGAAAGAAAACTCGAAAATAAACTATGCGTATGACTACAGAGTCTCTAGGCATCCCCTTCGTCGTCCTCCTGCGGAACGGGCTCGGGAACCATGTCTTCCTGATCTGAAATGGTTAATTAAGGAGTGAGCTACACTAGCCCAGTAAGAACATCACGATATCTCACCGTCACGGAGATAAAGGTGGGTAGAAAAACACAAAAAGACCAATGGAGCATAATTTACAACAAACTCGTTTATTAACATGAAAACCTTTACCATCCACTTACCTTGGTGGAATTTATGAAAACAATATGAGAAAAACAATAACATTATCATAATCATTGAATAATCTAAGCTGTAAAAATAACACTTATCACGCCTCTTGTAATTCAATCATTGTACAACATATCTTTTTTTCTCATTTACCAGCCTACTAGTATCCGTGGGGGTCCATAGGGGTTCCGTTGCCCGTTAACCTTTAACATTCATAATCAGTTTCCAGGGCCGTCCCCATACCCCGTCCGGTATGGGCGCCAAAACCATGAACCTCAATACCCCGTCCGGTATGAGGGTGAAACGGGCCGTCCCCATACCCCGTCCGGTATGGGCGCCAAAACCATAAACCTCAATACCCCGTCCGGTATGAGGGTGAAACGGGCCGTCCTCATACCCCGTCCGGTATGGGCGCCAAAACCATAAGATCTCCATACCCCGTCCGGCATGTGAGACCACAATCCCGGTAGGGTTCCCTACGAACCTGGTCCGTCCACCATCTCCCAGGATATCTAGTCAGGCTGACCCCCATAATACAATTATCAGTCTACACAATCTTTCATTTTCCTTTTCCTCAATCAGCATCATCAATTCACATTTAAACAAGCAAATCGTAATTCATACCAAACAGACAACATACAGTATCAGTTTTTCAGTCATTCAACCCATAATTAATAAAAACGTAGTACATGCACACAAATCTGTAAAATGAACACATCAAACCTCATTTTGCATTTAAAGGTGTAAAACAGGCCAAATAACAGTAAATCATAAATCACACTAGACTTGGGCTCCATTAGCAACCTTAAGCAATTTCACACATGCGTTAATTCAAGAAATACCGTTTTATCATTTTGAACTTTAATACCGTGATAGGAAATAAGGTGAGGGGTCCTTACTTGTTTTCGAGATCCGAATACGATTCACAGTGCACCTGCAGGCCGTCCCTAATTTTCCCTGAATTTTTCCCGGGAAACTGAAACACACTAAGAGTACCTGCACGTGTTCCAAAAAAAATCCAAATTAGGCCCAGGGCCTCTTTCGGCCCAAAATCGCAACTCCGGCACGGCGGCTCCGCCGTGCTCCGGCGACGGCGCCACCGCTGGCGGCGGCGAGTCGCCTCGGGTTGGCTGTTTTCGGCCGTTTTCGGCCGAATTCGGCCACGCTCGCATTGGTCCTTGTCAGAAAACAACCCTAGGGCCCTCGGGGGGCCAAAAAATCACGGAAAAACGGAGCTTACCGGCGGCGGCGCTCTCGGGTGCAGCGGCTCTCCGGCGAGGTTCGTGTTTTGGTGATTCGGCTCCGGTCAACCTGTAGAGAAAAGAATGGTGATTACGGTGATATAAAAATTGCATCGAACGGAGGCCGGGAAGGGCCTCGTCGGAGGCAAAAACCGAGAGGGGGCGCGGCGGCGCCGCTGGGCTTCGGCCGCGTATTCCGGCCGTTTGGCCGGGATTTCGGCCTCGATTTGGCCATAGGAGGAATCAGCGGGGAAAAACGAGTCGGGGGTATGAAATTTACCTCGATCGGCGGTCGGAAATTTCCCCGGTGCGGCGGCGAGTGGCGGCGGGTGGCGGCGGTCGGCCTCTGGTTCGTCTTCTCCGGCGAGCGGCTGGCGGCTAGGGTTTGTGGTCTGGTGTGGGGGTTCTATTTATAACCCCTTGCCTTTTGATCACAGCCGTTCATTTCGTTTTAATCTGGGTCGTTCGTTTTTGATTGAATCTGGGCCGTCCGTGCGTTTGAATCTGGACCGTCCGATCGCGCGATTGATCTGGGCCGTCGGATCGCACCCACGCGGATCGCCAACGTGGCTCCTTTCGGAGTGACGCGATCTTGCCACGTGGCAGGCCCTGGTTGGCCGGGGCTGCTGACGTGGCCCCCTTTTTTTTTTTTTTTTTTTTTTTTTCTCTCCTTTCCGGGTGCTACAATATATATCAATAAATGTTATTAGAAATACTTAACTATAAATATAATATAAAAAAAAAAATTAATATTATAATCCATCAGTTATTGACAATATCGTAATTGGGTCTCAAATATTTTAATATTATTAAAGTTAAAAATTATTTTAAAATTAAAACTTTGTAGTTACAAAGTTTATGAGAGAAATTAAAACTTTGTACTTTTTTTTTTTGTAAAATTTAAAAAATTATAATAATTAAAAATTAATCTTAATAAAATAACTAATTTATTTTACTCAAATAGTAAAAAATTAAATAAAAAAATTATATATTTGATTTAATAAAAAAGTTTATAAAATATTGTTATTTAACATGCAATTTGGCACCGGTGCGCGCATGGTCAAAAGGTGCCTACTCTGTCCCTACTCCGTCTTTTCGTGGGGGGGAAAACAAAGTCTTAAAGAAGTCAACACTGCAATTGTGACGACCCTCTTTGATTCGGATGGCAGCAGGAAAGTATAGCAGCGCACCATTTTCTGAACAAGGAAGTGCTTCAATTGTCATTGTATCGGAGAGAAAAGAGCAAAATGACTGATGCTGTCGTCTCCTTCGTTGTTGAAAGGACTGGCGACTTCCTGCTGCAAGAAGCCAAGTTCTTGACTGGGGTGAGGGATCAGGTGGAACAATTGCAGGCGGAGTTGAAGAGAATGCGGTGCTTCCTGAAAGATGTAGATGCAAGGCAAGACGAAAGTGAGAGAGTTCGCAACTGGATTGCTGAAATCAGAGAAGCCGCTTACGATGCGGATGATGTCATCCAGACATTTGTTCTCAAAGTGGCATCTTCAAGGCAAGGAGGTTTTAGAAATAA